ATTCAGATATTCTTTAGAAACAAGCTTCGAATAAAGGTCAGTAAAGTACCTCTCATTTAGAGCATTGGAATAAAGTACATCACATCACTGTCTAGCCATACCTATCTGTCAAATGAAATATACTTGTTTGTAAGGCAGCAAACAAAACACCCCTCTCGGTACGTTCCATTTGCCACTTGGCTTCGTGGAAAAGGGGATGGTGTTGAAAGCACTGGAGGCAAGGCACAGGCTGGTCAGTCTTGGCGGCCTGGCAGGGAGGGGCCCCCTGCGTCCTCACATTCCCATTCCGAGCTCTGCTCCTCCGGAGACGGCTGCGATCAGTCACCTCCTGTACGGTTTGAAAAAGGCTTGTCTCATTGGCGAGCAAACTGTTATTTAAGTACACAATCCACTAGACTACTGAGACAGTTTTGCCAAACTTATCCAAGTATTCTAACATGCTTAAAGATGGCATAAATATCATTTACGGCGAGCAGTTTTCTTCAGACTTCGTGGAATGTCTTCCTGCCGCCTGATCTAAGTGTCCCAGTTTACATTATGGCCTTTACTGCCTCTGTTTGATGGAGTGATCAGTAAAAATTTAATGACACTATAAAATAATAAAAATGTCATTAATTTACCACGGATCTTGGATACAGTGGCTGTAAAGTTACATTAATAAACAGAATATTTTTTACAACAAAAAGCATTGTTACGTGGGAACATATAAATAACACACATAAATTTAAGAGCAATTTTACTGTTAGCACACACATTATTATGGAATAGCCAATAAGTGTATAAAACATAGTATATAAAATTTTATTAAAATATACTGTGCCCATCAAAAATTCAGCTTTTATCTAAGCTCAAAGAAAAGCCATTATTGTGTGCTTACTGTTTCGTAGCTGTTCTTCCCCCATCACAATTTTACATTTGTTGCCAGTAAGAGGAAGTTGATTTTTTTTTTTTTTTTTTTTTTTTTGCCTAGATGGAAACAGACCTCTGTTCTTTCAGTTACCCCAAATCCATTCTCTCTCTCCACTGATGCAAAGACAACATTGATCAATCTTGCCATGGGAGGGAGGGAAAAGTTGCTAATTTAATGCAAAGTTAAAAATGATGCCTGAGGAGTTGAATGGTTTGTGCAGTGACTCTGGAAATAGGACTAATAATGCGGCAGTCTATCTGTCACCAGTGAGGCCCCCTGCCATTGCCTCGGATAACACGTGAAGGTGATGGATGCCTGAGTCTTGTGGCTTGTAACATTTAACATTCATCAACTCTCACTAACGGGGGCTTTATCATTTAAATATCTTTATTTAATATGCAATATCTACCTCATACATTATAATTTCAAAGCACTTAGCCAAAGTCCTGCAACTCGGCAGAGCTGACTTTCATTTCTTCCAATAACTTTTATGTCGCCTGCATGTTTGAGGCTGACAGTGTTTAAGTGTCTGGTCACAGAGTTGCATGTAACATGCACATTTCTCTGTCAACATGAAGATGGGGGGATTTTCCTGGAGGGTTGAGATTAAGTTGGCATGGGGGCATTTTGTTTATGTCTCCAAAATAATCTTAGTTGGGAACTATGTACATGGTTAGAGCTCGTTCAAGTGCATGAAAAAATTTAGAGTTAAGACCTTACCACCAGCAGTTTATATTTGTTCCATTCAGGGATGTGCCCATCGGCACTTAATGGCTAAAAGTTGACGCCTTTTGTCACTCACGTATCCTTGAACATCTCTCTGTGCCCATGTTCCCATCCTGTATCTACTAGGCTTGTGTTCAATCTCACCAGTAAAATCTTTGCTTCGCTCAGCTGCCCAGAGCTAACTTGTTAGACATCAGGCCCTCTTATCTGATGGGTATGTGGCTGGCAAATAAATATTCCAAGCTATTCTTTGAAGAACAGAAGGAAATCTTCTGGGAGGCGAGGTAGAAATGTATATGAAAGAGCATGGCTTGGCAGGGTCCTACTTTAATCTCAAATGCAAGTGCTTAATATTACCACGTATAAAATGCAACCCACCACCCAAAACAGTTTTTTTTCCCCCCATTGATTTATTTTCTGTCTATTTAACAAGTATTTCATGGGGTATTCTTCCTTGACTTCTGCCGTGTCAAAATATTGATGTTTTATAAGGAAAGTAGCTCTGCAGAAGGATTTTTTTCAGTGAAGTCAGAAAACCGCATGGCTTCAGAGACATCGTGAACGTGTTGTCGAACGTTCTGAATTTTTTTTTTTTTTTATGAAAAAACAAACTGATGCTACTGAATTGTGAGCACACTTTTTTTTTTTTAAAGGAAATATATCATCATCGAGTAAGCTTTGTTGTCTTAGGATTTTACAAAACATGGCATGTAATTTTCCCTCTTCTCCTTCCTTGTCAAAATATTGATATTCTTTCAGGAACTTTATTTATTTTTTTACTGAGAATATTTCGCAGTAAAATCAAAGAGAATGACTGACTAGAAAGACACTTGGAATATGCATACTGATGGGTAGTTAAAGTCTGTTGATTTTCAGAGAAAGTTGTTTCTCTCCTCCTCCCGCCTCTTCCCATAAAAATACAGCTAAAGGTTGTTCTTCCAAGAAGATGGCAGGTGTCACATGAGAACGCTTTTTGCATTTAACACAGGGAAAGGGTTCACATGCAAATGTCTGAAATTTGAAACAACGTGATAAAACAGAGGTTGCATATTTTGCTTTCCTTTGTACTACTCATCTTCACTTTACCTCTCTTCTCACCAGGGCAAACAAGAATGCTCCTCAAGAATAGAAATTGGCTAATTAAAAGCAGCTGTCCTTGCCCTAGCCCAGTAGTTCTCAATCTTTCTAATGCCGCGACCCTTTAGTACAGTTCCTCATGTTGTGGTGACCCCCAACCATAAAATTATCTTCATTGCTACTTCATAACTGTAATTTTGCTACGGTTATGGATTGTAATGTAAATATCTGTGTTTTCCGATGGTCTTAGGCGACCCTGCTGGCGGTTCTCAACCTGTGAATCACTGCTATAAAGCCTAAGACCATCAAAAAACACAGATATTTACATTACAATCCATAACCGTAGCAAAATTACAGTTATGAAGTAGCAATGAAGATAATTTTATGGTTGGGGGTCACCACAACATGAGGAACTGTATTAAAGGGTTGCACCATTAGAAAGGTTGAGAACCACTGCCCTAGCCAGTTTGTCTCAATGGATAGAGCATCACCCTGCAGACCAAAGTGTTCTGGGTTCGATTTGGGTCAAGGGCATGTACTTCGGTTGCAGGGTCCTCCCAGGCCTGGGCCCTGGTCAGGGCGCATGCAGGAGGCAATCAATCGATGTGTTTCTCTCACATCGATATTTCTCTCTGTCTTTCCCTCTCTCTTCCACTCTCTCTAAAAATCAATGGAAAAATATCCTCTGATGAGGATCTAAGAAAAAAAAAAAAAAAAAAAAAAAAAAAGCAGCTGTCTCCCTCTGACAATGTGTGAAACCCCTGCATGGCTCCTGGGTGCCTCTTGTTGTGTCTTGTGTCTGAGTCAATTTGTTCTTGCGCAGCACTGTTTTCACCTACGAAGATATGGGGAACCATATCTAATTGCTTTGTATTTTCATTCTTTTTTAATTAATATTTCAGAGGTTTTCCTACATTGTAACTAGTTAGTATTAATGACCCATTTGGTGAAATTCATGATTATAATTTTGTTACAAATCTTTCAGAGAAATGGTGCTAAGTTAAAGCAAGGTTTATGCTGTGTTTTCTTCCAACACAGATTTCAACACATTCCATGCTGAAGGGGAATTGGAAGACTCCCTACACCATTTGACTGATGGGAATTAATTATAGAAATATAATGATATTCAAAAATAATCATATTAGAAAGCACAAACATAGTGAGACTGTGCAAATGAGAGACAGCCTCTATCAAGTAATTGTATGTTTGCTTTTAAGAATATCTCCAAGTTTCTAAACATGTTACAGAAGGGAACACTCGGGGTATTTCCATCTAATACCAAACATGCTCAGTCCAGAACTAGGTCATTGAACAATAGACTGCACAGCAATCAGCCACTCGACTGCTGCATAATGCATTAAGTATAACATGCAGAAACCATTCGCGGGGCCGCAAGCTGCTACTTCATGTCTGTAAATTCAAGCTGGCATGACATTTAATATTGTTTCATAGTAATGAACAACGAGGTTTCATTTATTCATAAGCACAACACAAGGCCAAGTGTGAGTCTGGAGAGTATCAAGGAGGCGAGAAGGGGACACGGGCTGTTTCCGTAGATAAGAACACCCTGTTAATGATGGCCAGTGAGCCCTCTGCCACTGGTCTGGAGAGCTGCGAGGGGGCGTTCCCTGTGACGTTTCAGACTCCCGCTTCTAGAAGAACCCATTAACAAGTAAAACACCTTTGGGCTTCCCTCCTATAGCAGCAGGAGTAGTTTACTTTCTTGACTCAGTGGCTGGCCAGCAGTAATATCCTCCTTTTCTCGCCCCAGGAACTTATGGTTGAAACTCCTAGGCAAAATAATAGTGTCCATGCATGCTGTCATCTAGTTGGCCTGCTTTGAAATAATTGTTTCTGGAATCCTGACTTGTATTTTACCAGTGCCACATAGGATCTCTAAATGGGACCATGCCCCTCCCGTTAAATAGCAGTACATCTATTTGGAAGGGAACTACTCTACAAGTGTGGCACTTTGGGCTGGAATTGCAATTCCTTTTAGATTCCTGGGGCCAACACAGCAGCAAGAAGATGCGCAGTTCAGCGCTGGCAGGTTTCCAGCCCAGGTCCCCTTCCCTTCCAGGTCCTGTGGTGTAGAACCAATCAGCCCTGTCAGGGCCAGCGCCTGACTCCCACGGAATCTTCCTGAAAGATGTGCCGAGCCCACGGGGAACAGAAATGATGTTCGCACATCTAAGTTCCACCCACTAAGTGAGACAGAAACGGGAAGGAGACGTGGCTGTTTGGGAAGCTATTATAGAATAAGACTCTGATTTGTTCTTTCCTCTAGGAAAGGACGCGCTTTGAGAGCTTGGGGCCCCCGCTAACAGGCAAGCCGAGCGAAGATGGGAAGCTGGGTCCAGGTGTAATCGATCTCACACGGCCGGAAGACGCAGAGGGTGAGTGGCTTTCCCTGCAGCTCTTTCCCTCTGCCCTGGGTGTTCCTGGAGCTGTGTCTGCGCTCTGGCATCTTCCTGGTCTTTCTTGGGAGAATCAGCTCGGCTTTCTTGACAAAGCAGAGCAAATGCTAGTCTTCATTGTATGTTATAATCAAGGACTTTGACACGCAGCAATCCACAGACTTCAAGGTGCCATTCTAGTTTTAAACAAAAAGGACCCTCTGCATTCCAATGAACAACAGAATTCTGTTTCAATCGCTTCCTTGCATTCTTGTTAAAAAAAAAAAAAAAAAAAAAAAAAAAAAAAAAAAAAAAAAAAAAGGAAAAAAGGACAAACATATAAAGGAGGATTTTTTTTTTTTTTAACACCAAATTAAGTGGTCCCCAGATGCAATCCAACCATTTTGGGAACTCAATGGTGGTTTGAGCAGATTTGGCATAAAATTAATAATGACTTGAGTAAGGCCCAGCCTGGGTGTGGGTGCTAACCATGATTGAAGTCTTTGGAAGGCTGGAAGGAGAGACCAGCTTCACTCCCAGTGGGTTTGCTGGCAGCACTAGCAATGCCTGTCCACTCCTCTGCCCTCTCTGTTTGTTTGTTTTAAATGCACAGCAGCAAATCGGCAGAAATTGCTCCCCAGAGGAAGGGTACGATTTACGAGTTAGGCCAGCACTTCGGTGGTGATGTTGCCTGGTTATTTATTGTGTCATCACGGAGTAGGGGCTGGTTTTCCCGTTAGCTGTTCCTGTTATAGATTCCCTCCCTCCACCCCCAACAGTCAGGGAAGATTAATCAGTTCTCTCTAGAGTCACACAATACTTCACCTATCTTGGGTCTCAGCTAAAGTCCTTCTTTAGCTTCTGGGATGGAATCCTTTCTGTTATCCCTTTTACTGGCAGTGTTTGTCCCAGGACCCTAATCCCCTCAAAACGCATGAAGACATTTCATAGCAGCATGTGAACTGGGCACAGCTTCCGGTGATATTCTGCCATCCCAGGCAGTTCAGAACCCTTGGCTCGAGCACTAAGGATGGGTAAAGTCAGATGTTAAGAGGCACCTCAGAGGGTTTCCAGAAGACAGACTTTGCATACCAGTAGGAGAGACTAATGTTTAGTGATAACCCTTGGGGCAAGGTATTAAAATAAACTCTGATTGGTGTTCGTGTGTGCGCGTGTGAGCTTGTGCACACATGCATAGGGGTAGGGTGAGTAGAGGAGGGAGGAGGAAGAGGAAAAGGAGGATGAGAAAGAGGGGTAAAAAGGACTCAAAACAAGAAATTTGCCCACTGTCTTCTATGAAAAATGTACACAAGAGCACATTGATATCACTGTTCTATAGACCCTTGAAGTGCAGGTTTTTCTCTGGTGAGGACTGAGGTTCCTTGGTCTAGGGAACCAATATTCAGGTCTGGCCCATCTCAATTTGGTTGGAAGGCTGTACTGCAAAGTAACTAAATCTTTGACCATATACAATGAAATATTTTTTTTTTATAACTTTGAGTTATTCATTCTGCTTGTTTTCAATAGACTAGGAGTTATAGAATTCTCTCCTTATCCTATTATAACAGAGTTTTCATAATCTGTAGTTTATCTTTCTTCATTTGGTGTTTTAGCTATATAATGGGTATAGATATAGTAAGTTATCTCCTAGTAATGCTAACAATCTAGTTAATGATACTATGTTCTGGGTAAGTTAAAAATTATTAACCATTACGAGAGGCAAAAATATGAAAAGCTTAACTATAGAAAAACGTTGTATAGAAGCATATTTGGAAATTTTATTCAATACCAGGTTATTTGGATTCAAACCAACTTCCTAATTACATTTTGTTGTTGTTATTATTTTGTGTGTGTGTGTATGGTGGGGGGGCAGGTAACAATTATTTTATTAAGCACTTATATACCAGGGAATGTGCTATGTTTTTCTCATACATAGTGTTTTTTATTTACACCTCATACAACTCTGTAAAGAATGTATGATTATTTTTTCCATTTTATGGATGAGAAAATTAAGGTTGAGAGTAATTAAGTAACCTGTCACAGGTCACACAGCTATTATAATAAGTGCAGAGCTGCGAATTGATACCAGGCAGCTTTGGCTCTTAAATACTGTGACACCGCATACTGCATACCCTGTGTATATAGATATACTGTATTTGTGATGCCTGCATTTTGTGAACAAACTTCCTGTGACCTTCCTCAGGATGGCCCATTTCCTCTTCCCTAAATAAAGCAAGTCATGCCCCATCCAGCTCTCCTGTTACTCTGTCACATGAAGCAGCAATGTCTGTTGAGTGTAATGGTAAAAGGGCTGTCGTGGCCCAGGAGCTTAAGGAGCTTGTGCAAAGCTCCCTTCAGAAGCTTGCCCAGCATTGCCATTGAACCTCATGAGCTTTTGGGGGACTGTGAGCTCATGAATGGAGTCAGGTTACATGCTCTGATTCAGACAGAAGCCGGTGCCTTTGTGAGGGCTGCTGGGATGGGTAGCTGCCTTCTGCAGACTTCAGGGTATTTCCTGAAGTCTGTTCAAGTGTGAGCTGATTGCAGAGCCTGCTGGAGTTACAGTTCATATTAGAGTCTGAGTAGATATGAGGTACACAGAATTCTAGCTCCTCGTTGTTCCTTTCCCTTAGCAGAAAGAGTAAGAGGGGACTGAAATGAAGGGATAGCTAAAGCATTTATAAGTTCCTTGTGTCAGCTTGCGATCTTCAAAGCAAGCAGACAACCATTGGGTGCTACTGTGTACCAATCCCTGAACCAGACACTGGATGACCAAAGGAAACAAAGCAGACATGTTCCTGACCTTTTGGGGTTTAAAGTCTAGTGAAGAAAGACAGAAAATTAAAAGGAAAATGCACACGTACAGACAGCCAGATGGAATTATCATTGAGAAAAGTACTAAAAAGGTGAAGACCTCTTTGTGCCCACAGAGATTCAGAGAGAAAGCTCCTAGGAGAGCTCAGATGACAGGTGAGTTTGGTAGCTGCAGAATGCCTCTCCTTCTCCGTCCATTCATGATTGTTTCCATGTTTCCTCTGGCTTTGGAACAGAAAAAGTTAATTTTTTTCAGCTTTATTGAGATATGATTGATAGAGAACACTATGTAAATTTAAGGTATACAATGTGATGGTTTCATACGTGTATGTAATAGGAATTGATTACCACAATAAGGTTAGCCAACACATCTGTCACCTGCCATGATTATCTTTGTGTGTGTGTGTGTGTGTGTGTGTGTGTGTGTGTGTGAGAGAGAGAGAGAGAGAGAGAGAGAGAGAGAGAAAATTTAAGATCTATTCCCTTGACAACTTTATATGTATAATACAGTATTGTTAACTACAGTCACCATACTGTACATCAGATCCCAGGAGGTCATTCATCTTACAGCTGGAGTTTGTACCCTTTGGCTAAGGTCTATCTACTCTCCCCAGACCCCAGCCCCTGGCAACCACCATTCTACTCTCCCTTTCTATGAGTTTGGCCTCTTTCAATTGCACGTGTGAGATAACACGGTATTTATCTTTTCCTGCCTGCCTTATTTGACTTAACCTAATGCCTTCAAGGTCTATCACGTGGTTGCAAACAGCAGGATTCCCTTTTTTATGGATGAATAACATTCCACCTTATTTATATCACATTTTCTTTATCCATTCATCTGTTAGTGTACACTTATGTTCTTTCCATGTCTTGGCTATTGTGAGTAACGCAGAACAGCAATCTTTTTTTTAAAAAAAAATATTTTTATTTGTATTGATTTCAGAGAGGAAGGGAAAAGCAGAGAGAGAGAGAGAGAGAGAGAGAGAGAGAGAGAGAGAGAGAGAGAGAGAGAGAGAGAGAAACATCAGTGATGAGAGGGAGTCATTGATTGGCTGCCTCCTGCACACCAGATCGAGCCCACCATGTGCCCTGATCGGGAATTGAATCCTGGCCTGCTGGTTCATAGATCGATGCTCAACCACTGAGCCACACTGGCTAGGTGCAGAACAGCAATCTTCAGGTACTCTTCCCTTGATCACTTCTACCCCCACAGTCCTGTAGGGCTTCTGAGGTGACTAAAGTAAGTCAGCCTGGGAAATCCGCCCTGCTCCAGACCGGCTTCTGTGGAAAACGTCTGCCCGTCATGAAAAGGCTAATATCGCTTAGTAAGCAACTTGTAGACCTGCTCCCCAGCTCTGAGCATGGGAGCAGCCAGGGAAAGGTCATCGAAATAAGCAGCTGTGCATGCGTATTAACCACTCATCAAAATCAAATGACAAAACGATAAGCCAGGAAAACAGAAATTAAAAATATAAAAGGCAAATGCCTTCAAAATTTTATTTTTAAAGTCCAGCTGTTATTTGGCTTGAATATGACAAGACAGCATTTCTTGTTCACCATGATATTTATAAAACTACAAATTCATTGGTGCTGGGGGTTTAGGAAACACGTTTAAGGTCTTGTTAATCTTTGAAGCAGTTGAAGGCTTCGTGTGTTTTGAGCAACAAAATTGGTTCGCTCTTATATGGGACATGCAAGGAAGAGAGGTCTCGATTAGCTGAGTCTGTCACCATGTATTAAGAACGACAAACAGCTGTTTAACTTTTTATGCACTTTTCATATAGAGTTTTCCCTCACCTTGTTCTCCTTAGGCAAGAGTGCAATTCTTATCCCAACTCTCCAAATTTCGAGGTTGCAAAGTACAGTAGAAAGGGCTCTGGTCTGGTTATTGGGGGATTTGGATTTAAGCTCTTTTGCTAAATGATGGCAAACAAGGGACTAATTCCTCTGGGTTTAAGTTTTCATCTTTTATTTTTTATTATATTATATTATTTAATTTTTATTTTATTTTTGAATCACCATTTATCCCCTCTATGCTCTCTTCCACTGCCACCCTGTCTCCACTCCTACCCTCCAACCTCCCCTCCTCCCCTCCCCCCACTACTACACCACCAGCACTGTGTGCCTGCTCTCTATGAGTCTGTCTCTATTTTGGTTGGTAGTTCAGTTTATTCATTAAATACACA